TCGTTTCGGGCAACCGTGGCACGGGTCGGGCCAGTCGGGTTGGGAACCTGTTTTTGTGTCGACGGCCTTCAGCGAGTTTTTGGAAATGCGCTTCCGGTCGGCGGCGGCGGCGGCGGCGACGACGACGGCGGCGGAGCGGGGCGCGGTGTGGTGTATTTCTGTGCCGCGTGAGGGAGAAGCGAAAGAGAAGTTCCTCGAGAGACGAGAGATTCCTCGGGGAAAGGGCCGTCGCCGTCGTAATTATATATACGCCACTCTCGTTACTGAAATTATCGCGCTTGGGAATTTCCTCTCTCGTGTTACGTTGACGTATCGGCGCAATTAAGACAGATGTTTGCTGCTTTTGTTATTTACAATTAGATTGAAACATCGATCTTCTCTCTGTCTTTTACACGAAATTTTTCCCACCATTTCGGCAAGACTCATTAGATGATGGAGCGATGAGCAAAAGAAGAAGAATTCCGTAATATTATTTGCAGAACTCGCAGAGTAACTTAAAAGTGACGACGATTTTCGGTATGACGCCGCCGAGAAGAGCGTCTCTTGTAATTGTGCGGAGAAGACTTCAAAAGAGTATTCTTTAGCATAACAATTGTTTTTTCGATCGATAGAGCTCTTGGAAAAAAAAGGAGTTTCCGTGAATACAGAAAGGAATCGTCATTCCGAATCGTGGGAATAGAAGCGAAATAATTGACTTGGGAGAAACGTCTTACGATTGGAATGTGCATTCAATGTGGTCGATGGTTTCCTTCCCTCGATTGAGGACAACGATTAATGAAATAAAGAAAGGAAGGTATTTTGTAAATCTCAAAAGAGAGCCAGAAGAAATAGCAAGTTGGTGTTGAAACACCACGTGAAGAAAATGTTTCTTAAAATCTATACAAAAAGGAACCTAAATTAAATACGTATAGCTTAGAATATTTTAAAGAACTGTGTTTGAAAGTGTTTGAAAAATACTTTGACCTGGTCGGACCCTCGTCGCTCATGGGCCCCTACTTTTTTTAATCTTAGATTTGTTCTTCAAGCGAGAAGCTTATTGATAAAAAAATAACGCGTCATTTTTCCGAGGTGACTTCAAGCGGCGCGTGTAATTGTACGCCTTGTTCGTGACCGAGACTAAAGCGCATCTGCGAAGGAAAAAATCGCGATTTCAGTTCCCGGAAGAGCTGGAAGCGGAAACCTGGGCAGAAAACTTAGCTTCGAATTTAGCTCCGAAACGTTGGATGTGTATAATCTCGCTCTGGAATCGGTTCTCCGAGAGAGAAGCAATTCGAGAGATCGGCAGCGTTTTGGCAGGGACTCCGCGTGGTCTCTCCGAACGAAATCGAGCGCGCTTCACGCTACGTCGCGTCCGCGAAGTCCGGCGTGCGAGGGAAGAAAAAGAGGCGTGCACGAACGGGAACGGGCTTGCCGTGTGTCGTGAAGCCGTGGCTGCGTGACCGAGCAAGGCGAACGGGAGCGAGTGTGTCGAGTCTCGCCGCGCGCCTTGCGGAGAACGGCGCGCGCGAACGCGAGGAAGGGAAATTCTCGTGGTGGCGACGGAGAGAAAAACGGGTCAGTCGCGAATCTCGGAACCACGAGATTCCGCCATCCACACGGAGAGATCTCCTCCTGATCTCTGCGATCGCGAGCGAGGCCCGGAATTACGCCGCGTCGCGAAATTCGTCTTCTCGCTCGGGAGAATTGGGAGACGCGAGTGCGATCTCGCGTGAAGTCCGTGACACATAGTCTTTGTTATAGTTAAGTATTGCAAATTGAAGATTAGAATTCGATCAATCAGATAATTTTAATGGACGAATTCTAATCTCTAATTCGCAATCCTCGATCTCCAGTGCACGCAGTGTGACTTGAGGAAAGCCGTCGTTTCTTTGATTTCCTCAGTTGGAATTCGAGGCCATCTCTGGAATAAAGTCTGAGAAAGGGGGAGACGTGCGTGGCATTCGGAGAAATCGCAAAGTATTGGCTCGTATCCATAAAGTCGCGGAGACAATTCTGAAAATTAACGTAATATTTGGTTCGCGAAGTGATACTCATTGTAAGAGCGTTTTTTTTTCCTTGAATCATTTGGTTTATGCGTGAACCAAAACGCTCTTAGCTGTTTGCCCTCTGCGAGTTTTGCGAATCATGTGTAATAAGCGGGATTCTTCTATCTCGCGCTACACACGCGGAGTCATCGTGAGTCTTGTCAATATTACGAAACGGTGTAAATAATGTCACGTCGAAGAAGAGAGGAAAAATGGATGTTAGAGACGAGGCTCTAATAATAACGAAATAAGTCTAAAAGACGGTGAACATCTGTTTTGATTGCCGATCATTAGTGTTGCACAACGTCGAATGGGAACGATAGAAAGGCAACGCGCGGAGCGATCTCGACAGATTCCGGAGCAGCTTCTTCAAGATTAATTTCCACAAAGAGTGGTACATCAAGAGAGGCACATCGCTGTTCACATCGTATATTCGAGTGTCAAATGTGTTTTCTGCTTTCCAACGGAGAACGCCGATGACGAAAGGACCGTAACGTTGATGATCGCCGCACAATTCCGTTTTTCCATTTAACAGCGGGACGACGCTTTTGCCAATCATCGATCGCACGATCGGCGCGTTCACCGTCGCGAAACACGGTCGCGCGAACACGATGCGATCGCGGCGGAGTTGCCCGCGACGCGAAATCGATCCATCGATCCCACGTGGTGCCACGTGAAGACGCCGTCGAGGGAGAGGGAGATGCTTGAGGGGTCGTGGCTGATCGGCGGAAGTGCGCGAGGGAGCGGCCCGTGAGAGAATCGTCCTGGTGGATCGTGCAGTGCTCGGGAGAAGAACAGGTCGTCTTTTGCGCGGCAGGAGGATGGACAGGGGCGATAACAACATTGTCGGAGTCGGCGGCGGAAGTGGCGGAAGTGGCGGCGGAGGAGGCAGCGGCGGTGGCGGCATTGGCATCAACCTCGGCCTCGGCGTGGGCTGTCACGTGGGAAATTCCGGATCCCCGCCGAACTCCACCTCGTCGACCCACGGCACGATGCACAACTCCTCTGGCGGGTTCGACGGCCAGGTAGCGCATCCCCGAGATCTTTAAGCCGAGATTACGCGGAAGGATTTGTGTAAATATTTGCGCGCGGTCGTTATCTTGTCCCCAAATAATCTTGGTGAATTCGAATGGCCTGCACGAATCTCTTGCAGAGATTCTCCCGATTCTCGAAGTCACACTCGACCCTTATCGCGGCGTCCATCTCGTCGCGGCGGTCGTGCTCGATCAAATTAACGCTCGAGGTCGAAATTCGGGCGATCGGATGTTGCGATCTTTCGAGGATCATTCGCTCGATTTGCATCGGCACATTCGGCACCGCTTGTAAGACGCCGCGCGTACGTTTGCATGCAGTGAATTGTGCATGCATAGGAATCGAAGTGCACCCAAAAGTCGTGATGTACGGCATATCGCGATTTGGTTTTATTGGTGTCACGATATTGCGGTCCGTAACGGGGATGTTTATTAAGATCTTCTCTCTCTGTCCGCCTGTTTCTCTCTCCTCTCCATTATCGCTTCCATTCAAGCCTATCCTACACGGGATACCGTACCTGATCGAATACGGGATTAGAAATAGCTTGGCTACGTGTCGCGTTCACGCGAGGGCGATAACTCTGCCATTTGATACGGGGTGTTGGATTATCCGTCGATTACTTTCCCGCGTGCGGGAGAAGATCTGTGCTCAACACGTGCTCTCTCTCTATCTCTCTTTCTTTCTCTTCCTCTCAAGTGATTCACACAAGTCCGTCTCCGGGGGCTAAATTTATCACCGGCGAATTGCGGGACTCGGTTTTGCGCGTTTTAACGGCGAAATGCGCCGGGTCACGCACGGGAAGCCCATTGTTACGCGCCTCGCCAAAATTAATCTAATTATCGTGCTTCGATGCCCGATGATGATTATCGTTAATTTAAACCGGCGTGCAGTTCGACGAAAACCGCCGCGGAGAGCTAGGAGTATACACGCGGCCTCCGCGGAATGTGTATAATTACACCATTGTATTCGCTTCCACGTGTGTAGGGAATGAATTATGGCCTTTAATTAGAGAGGCAATGCTCTGTCTTCTAACCGCTGGTTAAACGTTCGTCTCATTGTGCGCGTAAAAATAAAATGTTAACTTATTTATCGAAATACATATTACAAAATATCGTATGAATTATTTTACGTTAACTTTTATCTTTATTCCGGCACAGTTAAGAGAAGCTTGGTGAACGTAAATTGAAAACTTCAGCGATTTTTCAAACTCTTTGCTAATATTCTTGTTGCGTAGAAATGAAGACTATGGTTACGCTATACGATCGCCAACTATCATTACCGAGATGATTTAAAGCGCTGCCTTGTCGCGTGACGTGACAGCGTGTCTTAGTATTTGCACGATATTATCTTATTTAAATATACGATTCATAACTGTGCTTATCTCTATTTGGCATTGTTAACAGATGGTGTAAGAACGTGAAAACGTGTCTCAGTATAATGTTATTGTAATCATTTAATGATAATATGTCAACTGACCGTAGCGATCGTATCACTAGGCAAAGATGTGTATAATGTTAGCATGGAATGCGATCAAAAGTTGTCGGTAGTGTGATATATAATACTGATCTCTTTAATGTTTGTGTATCTTGCCAGTTATCGCGCATATGTGAATAAAACATTATTAAAGTAAAATAGTGTATAAAAAATATTAATTAGAGAAGTATTCGCGATTTGAATTAATTAAGGCACAATTACTTGTTTGAAACTACTTTTTTGTGATATATCAAAAAGTAATGATAGATTTGAGAAATGTTCTAAATAGTTATGAAATTTATGTAATTTTGAAAAATTATGTGAAGAATTCTAAGAAAAATTTTTATCAGAGCTAATAAAATATATAAAGAAATGGCGCTTAGGAAAGTTTGATTATATTTTAGAATCATAAAACAATTTTTTTAGTATTAATAATTTTTTTTAATGTCGTATTTTTCTTTTTAATTTTAGACTGGCGACAGAGGATGGGAGATCCATCACATTAAGGTGACCAGAGTGCCCGGTTATGGTTTTGGAATAGCTGTGTCAGGAGGTTGCGATAATCCTCATTTTACTAATGGCGATCCAGCGATCGCGATCTCCGATGTGCTCAAAAACGGTCCGGCTGAAGGAAAATTACAGTAAGTACAGTAATTACAGTAAATTTCATTATGGCAAATAAAATCTTTTTTTATACACTTTCAATCTTTGAATGCGTATATTTGCGTAAAATGTATAATAGAAGTTTGTATAATAGAATTTTTGTATAATAGAATTTCTTTTTTAGTCCATAAAATAAAAATTTCTTACAATTTTTTATTTTTATTCCCTTGTAACAATTATATTTATTACTTTATCTATTGTCATTCGCAAGTAAAGTTTAATTTATGTAAAAACTTTTAGTTTTAATTGTTTTAAAAATTAAAATAGATTTATTTTCAATTCAAGAATTCTTAGTTCTTGGACTTTTTTTTTTTAAGAAAATTTTATATTTTTTAATTAAAATTAAAATTGAAATTGGATTCAATTTTAATTTCATATCCCCGCAATTAACAAGATTATTATTTGAGTGTGTATATTCTTTACAGAGTGAACGATCGTATCATCTCCGCCAATGGAAAATCATTGGAAGGTGCCGATTACGCGAAAGCCGTGCAAGTTTTACGGGATTCCGGTTCAACCGTTTTATTAGTTGTTAAACGGAGAGCTTTCTCGAATTCACCCAGTTGTTTAGGCAGCGGAATACCTCAAAGTCATCGGCTTACCCTCACGCGAAACAATAAAAAAGATGGTATGTAATTAAGCTATGTGTAACAATCCGCGTGATGATTCGAGGATCTCGAGCTAGATATACATCTGATTGTCGGTATCTCTGTCAACTTTGCAATCCGAACAAAATAATTAATCTAATTCAACTTAATTTTTCGGAATAATATTTAGTACGATTTCTTACTTAATTTAAGCTTTTCATTCAGTTCGAATTTTTATTGTAATTTTTATATATTCATGTATCTCCATTTAATCTTCATTTGTCTTCGCGATGCGTGTAAGACAAGACGCAGTGATTTGCTCATCTCGATTTCTAGACTTCGGCATAGTGCTGGGATGTCGATTGTACGTGAAGGAGGTTACGCGAGAGAATATTGGAGTGAAAACCGGGGACGTGTTAACCCGAATAGGCAGCGTCGCTGCCGACAATATGAGTCTGAAGGAAGCTAGAAAGCTAATGGACCAATGCAAAGATAGACTCTCTATCGTAATTACGCGGGATAGCTCGTGCTGCCATGTGCAGCAGCAAGGTAAAGGGGATAGCGGTGAATACCTGTCGGGCGCGAGTTACAGTAGTCAGAACTTATACGTTCCGCCACCCACGAGGCAGCCTTTGGAAGACAAGAGTAACCTCGTGCCGAGGGGCCGCTCACGAGGCCCGCTGATGGACGTGTCTCTAAGTCAGCTGGATCTACCAGCTACGCCCACTGTGGATCCACCCAGACCACCTCCACCGAGACCGGAAGGTATGCGTCGTGATATCAAGCGATTATTTCGATCATTTTCGTATCTAAATAGGACTTTACACTTTGATCGCTAAGTTGATGTCGACAAGTTGATTTGAACTTAATGAACCTAACGTATTATTTTAATACTTTATTGTATTTTTTAAAATATCTTAATATAATTTATATTATTTCTTTTTTTAGTGTCTTAAATACTTACAATTAATAAAATTATTCTTAGTTGAATTAATAAAATCGTTACCTATACAAATGAGTGATAATCCTTGCGAATTTTACATGTTACTCAAATATGGGTGACATGACAGTCAAAGTGTCAAATAAAAATTTAATAAATATAAATTTACATTACTATTTTTTTTATCAATCTTAAATTTATTTTTCTTTATCGAAAATTTCATTATCTTCTTTATTTTTATTCTTTTAATACTATCTTGACAACAAAGAAATGACTTTGTATTAATAATGAGGATTATTTTTTTAACAAAAGATAAAATTCCACGAAGTTTTACTTAATGTGCTAATTCTTTTTACAGATTATTATAGTACACGTAGACAATTGTACGATGAAGATTCGGTTTCGCCTCGGTCGAAACAGCCCATGTAAGTGGATGATGTTTTATTCAATTTCTTGCGGCAATTAATATTACAATGTTTATTTTGATATTACGTATGTACAGGCCAGATCCTCGATTCATTACGTTCCAAAAGGAAGGATCCGTAGGCGTGCGATTAAGCGGCGGCAACGAAACCGGAGTCTTCGTAACTGCTGTTCAAGCGGGAAGTCCTGCGTCGCTTCAGGGTCTTCAACCAGGGGATAAGATTCTAAAGGTCAGTTACACAACTCGTAAAATAAATATATATTACTACTTATTTTATGTTTAAATCAACTGAATTCATATTCAAGATTTTAAAGATTCAAAAATGATGAAATGAAGTAATCACTATCAACAAGAGTTTAACAGTGTTCTTTTATCTCAAAAGATTTTTTTATTGGAATAGTAATTCTACTCCTAAATTTTATTAGAGTAAACGGTAGAGAATATATATTTGAATAATTTTGCTTAAGGTCCAAAGATTCTACAAAGATCTCTTAAGAGAGATTAAGATTTTTTAAAAGATTCTGATATCTGAATATCGAAAATTTACAAAGAAAACGAAATTTTGCGATAGATAAATGATATGGATATGAAGGAGGTCACGAGGGAGGAAGCCGTACTATTCCTTCTTAGCTTGCAAGAACAAATCGATCTTATTGTGCAACATCGACGTCAGGAATACGACCAAATTGTTGCATCCGGCAGAGGCGACTCTTTTCACATAAAGTAAGTGACGTTTATAACAATTTAGCTAATGATCCTGTTATGCTAATAAAGATGAAAATTCTGAATAATTAATAAGAGAAGAGACGAAATTACGTATATCTCACAAAATAAATGTGTACAAAATTAATTTATTTGTAATAGGATTATTGATTTCTATAGAAAATAATTATCTATTCTTTCTCTCTAATTTTGCTAATATGATATTAAAACTTAAGATGCAAAGATAAATATAACAAAAATGTATTATTGATTGTCGTTAATGAAATTATGTAATTTTCATATTCACTATTCTATTTTATACTTTAATTGTATAATAAATATTATAGCATTGTAAAAGTAGAAAAAAAATTTGTTAATTACTATTAAGACAGTATTTATATGATTGACTCCAGTTCTAAATTTCATTAGTTAGTAAAAAGATAATTACAGCTAACGTACATTTTTTTGAAATGTGCAGAACTCATTTTCATTATGAGCAACCGCAAAAAGGAGAGATGAGTTTTCGGAGCGGCGACGTCTTTCACGTGATGGACACTCTTCACAACGGTGTCGTAGGATCTTGGCAGGTTTTCCGAATTGGACGAAACAATCAAGAGGTACAGAAAGGCATTATACCTAACAAGGCCCGGGCTGAAGAGCTTGCGACCGCGCAGTTCAACGCGACGAAGAAAGAGATGAGCGCCAGCGAGAGCAGAGGCAACTTCTTCAGGAGAAGAAGAAACAGTCACAGACGCTCGAAATCATTAGGAAGAGTACGAATGCAACCGTGTTTTTTCATTTATCTTTTTACATCATATAGTCTAAATATAGATTTTACTTATATTGTATACCTATTTCGCTTAAATGTTATTCTGTTTTTTTTAATATCATGTTATAATCATTAAACTGAAAAGTGAAGAAAACATATCACTATTAATAATCTGATTTAGATTAATTTTCATGTTTCCTTCTACATTTTTTTAGGATCATTGGGACGACGTAGTATTCTCCGATAGCGTCAGCAAATTTCCGGCTTACGAACGTGTAATTTTAAGACATCCCGGATTTGTCAGGCCCGTCGTTCTCTTTGGACCCGTGGCCGATCTTGCAAGGGAAAAGCTTCTCAAGGATTTTCCCGATAAGTTCACGTCGCCACGTAAGTAAACGATACTTTGCATTAACTGTTTATCGAATAAGCTATATGTTATCATGTACTGAAAATTAAATAATTCTTAGAAATGGAAAGTCAAATGGAGGACGGTACGGGAAAGAACATGAAAACGTCCGGAATCATTCGCTTAAGCGCCATCAGGGAAGTGATGGACAGGGGCAAGCACGCATTGCTTGACATCACTCCGAATGCCGTGGATCGCTTAAATTACGCTCAGTTTTATCCGATTGTCATTTTCCTGAAGGCCGAGACGAAGCAAGTCATCAAAGAGATGAGAGCTGGCATACCAAAGTAAGAACGATTGCGGGATGAGATCTCCGTTTCGCCACCCACCATATATTCTACATGCGACATATGCGATTACAGGTCGGCGCACAAAAGCAGTAAAAAGCTTTTGGAGCAGTGCCAGAAACTCGACAAGATCTGGGGACACGTATTCAGCGCGGTGATCACTCTCAACGCACCGGAAGCTTGGTATCGAAAGTTGAGAGAACTCATCGACCGCCAGCAGCAAGGTTCGCTATGGATGAGTCAAACTAAGGTAAAAAAGCAGTGCGATCCAACGTGCGAATTGTGTTGCAGAATGCGCGTGCTATTTTCTGCTGTTTTTTACTTTAAGTATTAAAAAAAAAAATGTTAGAGGACGGAGCTCTGCTGAAGAAGATATCTATCTGTCGGGGTGGTTTTTTTATTTCTCCTTTTCTCTTTTTATTCTGTTTTCGCTATTCGTCACGAATATTTCTCCTCGTTGCTCGTACATACGCTCCACTGTACGGCTGCGATCTCGGTATAATTTGGGTCTGTTCGTTGTAGCCGATATATAGCCGATACACGGTGTGGGATCTATCGCATCCGTCTGCACACGCTCATACTCCACCTCCCGCTCCTCCACCTCCCCCGCTTTCCGATAACATGTATTACGACGAGAATAAGAACCACGACGTGCTGCTTCTGGCGCATCATCAGTCACCAATATCATCTTTCATGGGAAAATTCCCGCCACTTCCACAACCGCCTCCAAACTCAGGCGTCATCCGTGAGCAATTTTTCGGCTATATATAAATCCTGCTTGTCTTAACCCTTTAACTGCGAAATTCAGAATATTTTATTAGTATCCATACTGTGTGAAATATTAATATCGTAATAGCTTTAGCATTCAATGCGCTCTTTGTTGAGCTAAATTAATTTGTCACAGTATCTCACACAAGATATACGATGTATGTCAATTAATCAAAAGAAGCAATTAAATTAATTTGACTATGTAAACATGTTGATAGTAACAATTGATTTAACAGGCATATATATATATATATATATATATATATATATATATGTGTGTGTGTTTTTAACAGTTAAAGGGTTATCTCTACGTGCTCTCTATGTATGCATTTTTCTACTTTGCATGACTGTATCTATCGTAATGATCTATTTTCTCTTTTTAAATTGTCAATTTGTGAAATTCTCAAATCCAATGTTAATTAGTTGCTTACGTTCAAGAAAATAAGATATTTTCGCAGTTGAATTACAATGCAAAAGAAGAAAAAATTTAGTAACATAATTTAAAGATGAAGCTATAAAGTGTGTTATTTTGCTGATTGGTAAAATTGTTGATTAACTTTTAAAATTAGTAAGCTAATTAGCCAAATAAAGCCAGAATTTTCTTTTTTTATTTCATTTTTATTAACATTTAAATACTTTACTTTCTTACACAAAGCTCGTCGAAGAAGATACAGTTTTTTTTCAACGTGTGTCGTGTATGCATTTGAATGCATGCTTTATCATGCTGTATTTCTGTATTTGCTTCCTTCGCAAATCGTTTATTAATTTATAGTATGCTTCGGAACAACAATGGAAAGTACAATTATAATTGTACCTTCCAAGTGTTGTTCTCTAAGAAAGTATATTAAAAATAATTTCAATAATAATTTTAATACAAAATAGCCATACAGAGAGTAATTCATTCATCGCACTTCGTTGACTGTAATACATCTGAGCAACATACATTCATTGTGTCGTGTGTTATTAATTCCGTGACCGTATGTATCGTTTGTCTTAACGTGATGTCCTCTGTGATCTGCGCTCGTAGCCGGAAGAAGCCCTCTCGGATGACTTCCTATTCCCGATGACTTCTCGCCTCTCCTACGCTTCCTCTCCGGAGAGCGATCTGGAGTTGAGCCCAGCGACCGTTATCCCGGGCACTTTGGGCCCACCGTCGCGGCTAAAGAGTAGTTCCGATCCGAGTATTGCCACTCAAGACGATACTACTGCGCCGCCACCGTACTCAACGAATTATCAGGTAATGTATACTTTTAGATATGTCCATTAGCGACTTATTGGATTGGACTTCATTTACATACAGACAGAAATATAATTCAATAATTCTCTTCTATGTAATTAATCATAGATGGAAATAAAACATTTGAATCGTTTTATTTTACAAACATCTTTTATAAATGAAAAAAATTCTCTTAAAGATTCTCGGCAGATTTTTATTGATAAATATTTTATTGTTTTAATTTAAATTATATTAAAATATTTCATAAAATATATATTATTGTATAAAACAATTTTTAAACGAGACAGATTTCTAAATCAGACTTTTCAGAAGATCGATTAAAGCTTAGCGAATTAATGTATAATTAATTTTTTAGGCTGTATAAAACGATTTTCGATATTATATGTGTGTGTGTGCGTGCGTGCGTGCGTGTGTATATGTGTGTGTATAATTATTGTTTGTAATTAACAAATGTGTTCATTTCTAGCAATCGTTTGAACAGCAGAAGAGAAGATCCCAAGGAATAGGTGACAGCAAGTACGGCTTTTCCTTGTCTGGTCAAAGAAGCAATCAATCCGGCTCGCCGGAATATCTGGGCAATTCCTTCGAGCCTAGATCCCCTCATCACAGTCCACCGGATCTTCCACCTCGAGTCGATCGTAATGTGAAGCCGATTAATCAAACGCCGCGGGGAACGATAGGGCGATCCGCTCAGGAACGTCTAGGAGTGAATAAAACCGACTCAATTCTAGATATGGGAAATTACATCAATGCGACCCCTCACAAAGCAAATGCTACATCATCCCTCGAACGGGCACAGCCGAAGGCGGTGAACGATATTTCTTTCTCCTTGACGTGCCGTAATTCAGAAATGAAGCCCGTTATCCGACCGTAAGATACATTTATGCTTTCTTCCACAGGGAAGTTATGACAGCATGTCTTCGTATGATTCGTACAACAATGCTAACGGGAATGCGAACTACGGGATGGCGAATTTGAATACGTCGACAGGTCGTTTAGGCCCGAATGTACCTGATGATCTCAAAACCGGCAACATACCAGCGAGAGCGCACGATCCATACAGATTCACTAGATCTACAGCTCAGCCCATTTCCACGCATGACGCTCAAACACGAACCGATTATGCCAAATACAGGTGTTTATATATTTACTGTTGTACATCTTTTTGAGCTTTAAATTCACTTTCTGACATATAAATGTTTAATTAAGAATTATTTTGTATATCTCTTTTTTTATAAGATAATATTTTAAAGAATCCTTTTAACGTTTTAAAATTTCTCTTTTGCATATAATAATTTTATAATTGATAGTATTAATTTCAAATCTTTAATTTTTTTTTGTTGATCTTTACTAGAGTCTAAATAAGAGAGAGATAATGCTTAGAAAGATCGAAATGATAGGAGAAATTATTTGTTGTGTTTACAGCCGTTCCACCGACTACAAATCGATACCAATTTCGCAAAATAAACCGGCAGGCACTTACAAGCCGATTCCGCCTCCAAAACCGAAGAATTATAGGCCACCGCAAGCGCTTGGACAAACGGAGAACAACGGGAATGATGGGAGTAATTCGTACCAACACTCGAAGAGTTATTCCATCGCTACGTCGCATGTACATAATGGGGTAATTGTTTTATAAAGTATAATAATTCCGTAAAGATAATTATTCCTTTTTTTTTTTACTTGATATTCTTATCATTGTTTCAATGTGTCTGTGCGGTGATTTACGATTCAATGAATACGATTTTACCGATTCAATCGGAGATTGCTGTGATTTTATGCGGATTTTTATCTTTATTCAGGTAGAAAGCAACAGCAACGTGCAGCGCAACAGCGGTCAGTATTACTACAACATCCCACCACCCGGCCGTCACAATGAGGGCAACATCGTGAATTCTCATCACAATCTAAGTCATCTCACGTCGCCGACCCACAGCCACAGCCTCAGCCACACGCATTCGCATTCGAGCCCGCCGGTGACCACCACGCATTCCCACAGCAACAGCACGGGCCAGATCAGCCTCGGTCTGCCGCACAACCGGAACAGCGCGAATCACAATGGATATATGCACGGTAATAACCATGCTCCCGCGGCCCAGCTCTATCCCTCCGCTAATCCGGGACACAATAGGGAACCCAGCGGTCTCGATCTGGCTGGTAGCCGAGAGCAAAGAGGCAGCGCTTTCGAGCTCTATCGAAAGCCGGTCCATCATTACAATATGAGATGAGTAGAGGCGTCAGTAGAGAAGAATTCGCTCAGAAAAGAGAACCAACAGACGGCGGCGGTGACTTAGCTCATATTTTAAGAATGTAAAATGATCGATTTTGTCCCTTGCATACCTTGCACACGGGCATTAGTATTTTTAAAGCGCAAAAATGATTTAGGAACATGGGAGAAGTAAAAGAAGATTCTCCTGATTAATTAGAAATAACATACAATGTGTTAATTATACAATGTAAACCGTTCTTTTTGTACTTTTGTAATATCTTGAGTGTACGTCGAATGTGGAGATTCCTTCTTTCATTTTCGTAGTTCAGTAGGAATGTTGTTGTATGTTGCAGTTAACGTGTATCCTGACGCAAGACTTATTATATTAGGATGAATTAATGAATCTGTCGGAGCGCGCAGAAGAATAAATCGTGCAATGTCGTAGACATAGATTTAAAAAAAAAAAGAAACATGAAGTTACATTAGCCAAGACATAATATCGCGAGAAATACTGTGCCTTACTGAAAAGAAACGTAAATTTTAACGATAGAAATCCTGAAATACCAACGGACGAAACATTTTTTAATCCTATGGAGAAGTACTTAAATATTTTACACATAAATACATTTTTACGAAATAGAGAATTTTTTTTATTACGACAGAAAAGATAATGAAGTCTATCTTTTTGTTTGATATAAGTACGTAAGAAATCTTACCATGTATTTATGTGTCATCATTAATGATAATACATAAATTACGCATGTACGTTTAATAAAGATAATGTAGAATGATTTTTGAAGACACAAGATGTAAGTGCAATGTAACGTAACAATACTCAGTCGACTACACACCGGGTGAAATCTGTACAGTTATTTTAGTTATATTTTCGCGCTTTTGCTGGAAATATAAATAACGCCAGAGGAGGAAAGAAAGCAATTTTACAAAACGTTAACAATAAATAAGAGAGTGTTTAACAGTTCACAATACTTACCGCTTATTCTTTAAACAGTTTATAGAAGAACCGCTTTTAATTTGTGCGGCAACTATATCTACATTATTGATATGTTATTGACGTATGTGATAACGTTTAATAAATAAAACCTCTCTATTGTTATCAAATAAAAGCATGGAGCGTGCCTGACTCCAAATCTTTTGAGGGAATATTTTTTTATCGATGAGATAAACATAATAAATAAGTGCAATGCAAGGAATAATAATACATAATAACATGATACATTGTTTTTTATGTTTTGTATAATAATAACAATGTTGTTTTGTACATTTTTAAACCTATCACTATCAATATTATTAGGAACATATAATTAACATAAGTGAAATAAATATAAGACACTATAATTCTTATTATACACTTATGAATGATTAAAAATTATAAAGAAAGGAATTTTTATAATATATGTCCGAATTTTATTACCATGAAATTATAATGGAAAGCATATTTACTCAAAACATTTGGAGGTAATTTGGAGTTCTTCAAGAGAAGTTTTTGAAAAAAATACTTTTTTTTTGGTCGGGCACGCCCATGATTATTTATTATGAATCGTATTATGCGTCATTAGTAGTAAACCAAATGGTCTTCTTAGAATTAGGGTGAGGTGTTATAAAGAGCTTATATTAGCGTTGTTAGATCAAATAATCTGTGTCATCGTATACCAACATACTCCTTGTATCACGAATTAATGCGTAAACAAATTATATTGTTGTTAACGAAGTACGACAGAGAGTAAACGTTACACACGCCGTTAAACGAAAGAGAGTAGCATAAGTATAATTATAAGTTTGATTACTATTGACACGATCATTATTCATGAGTATTAAATTTAAACATGCGATTTGTCTCGTGCTACCGTAGCGAGGCTGTAGGACTTATTATATAAAAGACTAATGTGATGTCCGCATGACAATTTATAAGAAACAAAATAAAAAATTCGAGCAAAAATAGACATTTGAATCCGACACAAATCTCACTTTTTATTTTTGATCAAGGAATGGACGAGATGACTATACGATTGAAACAAAACATATATGATAATTCCTACATAATTAATGAATGTTTGAAGCTTAATAATTCATTTTAATTTATATCTTTTATCTTTCACCTGATATATCTTCCTCAATTTTGTACACACACATGGACTTTTCTATATATGTATCGAAAAAAGCTGATACATTTGATATATTTTTTACATCTTAATACATTTGTGTCAATAGCTTTTTTAAATTATGATGCAATGTTTTAAAAAAACTTGTCACAACCTAGGATTAAAGAATGATGTCGAAAAATGAGAAAATGGATAAGAGAGCAATTAATGAAAATGAACGCTACATTTGATTTAAAGATTTTATAATATTTCCATTTATATTACATATAGTCATAAAGATTGCTTATTCTTGAGACACAAGATAAAAATTAAGAAAATTAGATATATAAAGAATCAGCTTTAACAAAATATTCTATTATGCCAAAATATTATATTATGCCTAACGAAAACCGTTTTAAAAAAATATCACGTTGAATCTGCTTAATGTCTTTAATGTACATGTATAATTGACTATAATTGGCTAGTTTGGTAGTTATAACAACGAAGATCCCGATACACGTATAGGTCTATTAACGAGCATAATTCGTGGGCACAGGATCTCGCATATAATTTACAGAGTTTATGAAATACGAGGAAGAGATGAAAAAGAAGCGCTATTATTATGGAAAGATGAATGGTCTAAATATTGAATAACGCGCAATTGATATAGCTGCGAATTATTTGTAATTCCAGACACTTTCCTAATGATTCGATGTCTCAATGTATCCATCAACGCAACGATATAATTTTACGTTGCAAGAACACAATATGTTAGACGTACATTGATTCCGTTGCATTTGATTATTAATAATTTTTAATGCACTTTGCGGATATGGACATAAAAGATAGAGATATATTTCCATGCATTTCCATACGAATCCGTATGTAATTATAATTCATGACCTGCGAGAATTATTATACGGCAAGTTCAATTAACATACTTTTTTTTGCGTATAAGCGATCGGCGAGATCCCGTTTAACAGCAACTCTTCTCATTGTAATGACGGAGAGCAAAAGTCTCAAGCAAAAATACAACTACGATCTACGATACAACGATTATTGTCAATTTCCCAGAGCATTTGAACGGCACGAATCGGCGATATGGCGATTTCACTTCAATCCCAGCAGCCACTCAGCTACGCCGAGATAATAAACGGTTTGCGCAATGCCGAATAACGGCGCTATGACTATCATCCGGCAGGCACCGCCTTTGAAGAACGCCCTCGGTCCCTCATTCGTAAATGTCTTCCTACAAGCCGTAGAAAGTAATCATTATAAAGCACTATGCTGTTCTTATTTGCAATTTGAGATCTGACTTAGCCATTGAATAAGATATTTTTGATTTCAAGGAACTCACAGTATACAGTCTAATACTCCGTGGTACGTTGGATCACCAGGTGCTTTTTTGATAACTTGCAATCTAGTTTTGATTACGTCGAATGGATTTACCATTAATGCGGCCGTCGAGCCGGCGGCGCATCCGGCAAGGAATGAACACCAGAATACAGCTGTAATGAATAGCGATATTGTGAGTGTTATAATATATCTTCGTTTAGAGTCGATCGTGTGACAGCGTAATTATACCGACACTTACATGAACCGTCCTCTCGTTTCGGCCCGAGATCATTCAGTCTAGCGAACAGCGGGAAGTAAATAACGGAAAACGTAACATCTCTGAGCGCCGTGGCGCCGGTTCCTTGGTACAGCCCCAGTATACCTCGCTTCCTAAGTAGATCCACCGTCAACGCCCAAGCGGATATCTTTGGCACTGCTTTACCCGCTGCAACAATAACGCGTTATGCAATTTATTGCATACACTATGAGCATGAGCAAGTAAGTAATAATTCTAAAACTGATATAGTTGCATACTGCATTTTCAAATTTTAGAGATTTCGTGAGCGAATCGTATTGATTAATTATCTCGAGTTCTCATTTGTTATCGTCATTATTTCCATGTCGAAAAAAGTTAAAAACGCTAAAATTATTAATTTAATTTAATATTTAATTTAATAATAGTTGATCCAATAATGCGTTACAATTTCTATTCCGATAATGGTGCATATATGTAAATTTTCAATTTTATAAAATGTAGTCGTCCATGGCAATTAATTGACATCATAGAAGATATGATGAAAAATAACAAATGCCCGTTATGTGTAAAGTACTAATAATGGCAAGAAACTTAGATATACGTGAACAGCCGCGCGATAGCCGCTAATAATCTTGCTGCATTAAACTGCTTCAATAAGCGAAAGGAAACATTGTCAGAAGTTATTGACTGCTTTCGTCACCTTCCTTAGCTGCCATGGCGACTCTGCCAGCGTCTTGCATTTGTATTTTAAGCAGTTCCATCGGAGTGGTAACGATTATTTGGCATGCTCCCGCCAAGCCGCCGGCGAGCATTTCACGTTCTATTGGCAATTGTTGTCTGGACAACAGATTAAGAGAGTCCTGGGATCACGGCGCATTGCAAAAAATCTCAATATATAAAATAAGACTGGCACACTATTGACTTCGAAAAATTGAAGAAAAAAGCATTTTGGACCTCGGAAAATCATTTTTCACAACTGATTAACACATTTAGCAGCAAATCAATTTTATGAAGGTTGATAAAAGTTTCCAATTAAAAAGCATATTCGGACATCAATTCATCTTAAAACTAATTTTCGATTATCTCGGTAATTCATTGTTAGTTGTGCAATTCTGTATTACTAAATATTCATGGCTGATTTAAAAAAATCAAAATTTCTCGAAAATTTTCAGAATTTTTACTAAAGTTTTTAAATATATATAAAATGTAATCATCTAAAATTCCAGTTGCAAATTTTTATCTTTCCGAAATGATTGTCAGAGCGCCAGTTCTGGTATAAGGGAGATCATTCAACGCTAGTGGCATGATAAGCTATGTCAAACATCTTAATGGACCGCAGAGCATCAAAATACATTGGCAAAAAACGAAACGAAATAAATTGTTAACCTCGTGATCCGCAATTTATTTATAATTCCAATAGCGTGATACATACTAATGGAAAATCTTTATGAACAGTAGTAGAAATTATTCGTTAGATTAGAAAGCAACTTTGAATGAAATAAATGAGATGAACTACAATTCACAATTGTAAGCTAAAGTAGAAAATTGACGATTACACTGCGTTATAGCGCTAGCTGACATTTAACAGATTCTCAGCAAAATCTATTGAAGACTATTTCTAAATTTGTTTAATTTTATATGCCGTCACTCTTGGATTATTCTAAAGAAAGGAAGTAGGGAAGAAAAGGGGAAAGTAAAAATTACCCTGCTTTCGTCGATTGCTTGTAACTTGATTAGCTAGTTATGGTTGCTCGCACCGTTTGCCAGGTTCATTTAACTCGGAAATTACATTCAAACGGGTAGCTTCAGTTGTCTAGAATTACAGAATAATATATTTTAATATGTTTTATGATAACATAAGATTCTGGCATAATAGCGCGAGCCTATACTATAATACTACATTTCCTTGCCATTCTCGAGATGTACAGAGTTGAGCTATGCTCGTTGTCTTGAAATTTAATACTTTGGCCTATTTAGATTCGAAATTAGAAAGTTACAGTATCAATAACAAATGGCAATTGAAAATAATCCGTCAAGTTTTTGTTAAGAAAATTAATTTCAGAAATATATATATATATATATATATTATACACATGATTTTGCAAATTTAATCGGTAAAAATGGGACATTTTACAAATTCAAAATTAATACAAAGAAAAATACAAGTAAAATTTAAATACCATTTACATATTCTTGAACATCGAAAAGTCTTATTTTGAGTTAAATATTATCAACTGTTTTCAAATATCGTTGGTCCAACAGCTACGAAAACTATTTTTCTCCAGTTAGTGATAACATTTTAATACATTAAATAGATATATACTTTATGTATAATTTAAACTTGGAAGTCAGTGTCGATGTTAAGTGCGGGCAGTTATTGAAACAAATCAATCTAATAGTGATTAGCAACAAGGAAAGATATATACTAGATATTCTAAAAAAAATACTACTGATGCTCTATGATGCTCTGCTGATCTAATGATACAGCACTACATTACTAATTTTTGGGGCTTTCCAATTACAATTTTTTAAAAAGGATATAATTATGATAGAATGAATGCAAATTGAATATCTTAAAGAGAAAGTGTAACATTATATATTAACATATTACATATAATTATTAACAAAGAAATGTAATATTTTCAAGCTTTATAATTCTAATAATTTTCATGCCTATGCATTTTTTACTGTGTCTACAAGCTGGCCTGATCAATACTCTTAGGCTTCTCGCTTTACGTAACACACTGTTGATGTAATTTTTTTCTACGGCTTCATAGCTACACTGATGCATTTCATTTATTAATTAAAACAGAAGCTCAACATGTTTAATTAAGTAAACTCGTTGATTATAATGATTGTGATAATTTATAAACAGTTAATTGGAAAGCCCGTTCTACAAATTTTACATTAGTTTGATGAAAATTTCATCCGAAATATATTTCATGCTGATCCACTTGCCATAAACTTTGAATAAACCCCTTTAAAACGCACATTTAATAAAACATTAAAACGAGAAGATAATTGTTATGGAAAATTAGGACTTTGAGTGGAAACGAAAAGATGACACATATAAAAAAAAGTAAAAAATAAATTATGGGAAATAAGTCTAAAAAATAAAAGGAGACCATTAATTGTTAAGTATTACATAGGATATATATACTAAAAATTTAAATTTATAAAATTTAAGGAAATAAGTTGTAATGAATACCAGATATCACTATACCTAATGACTCCTTAAAAATATTTTGACATTGTACATAGTGCGACTAAACTCCCATGCTACCTCTCACGGATTAGCTTTTGCTCTGGCAATGTTACACACAGAGAGGAGCACATACCACAAGCTCATACCTCCGATAATATGAAAAATACATTATATAACATATTGTTTGCAACATACCCGGGCCCGAGGGAAAGATAGTGTCTAAATGTATCATTGGCAGTAAGTTTGATTGCTTTCTCAGGTGTGATCAATAATATATTTACAGCGGATCCCTTATACATTCCAAAATAACCCTCTGCTTTGTAAGTCTTTTTAAAGCAGTCAAACCTGCAAAAAATTATATATTTTTTCGATTATGCTAGATCTCTTTGTTTCGTGCTTTTTGCATCTTGTCTAATTTGTCATATTTTTTCATACTTTTATTTCACATTAATTAAAAAAAAAAACAAGAAAGTATAAGTAAAACAAAGAGATTTGTTATATAAAATAAAGACAATTATTTTTTAAATTTGTATATAATTTGATTATCAATAGGCATAATATTTATTACTAATTATTAATTTTTAAAATAAAATACTTGCATTGACTTGTACATGCGTTCGCCACTTGGACCGATAACTTGATTCTGTAATCTTGTTTTAACCAAATCGAGCGGAAACACCACGGACACTCCAATAATTCCGGCAATGCCACCATTTATGATTTTTGGTACAAGTCTGAAAGATGGATGCAAACTTATATTATACGAATATATGTGTTTTTTATATCAAAATATTATCTCATCATCTAATATTATCAATTTTTTATATCAAGATATTTAAAATAAAATTGTAACGTTGCTGAATCAGAATATTCCGATATTTCGAGATTCGTTGTCTTACAAGATATTATTATCAAATTATATTGTATTAAATATATTATATTGCGAGTAGAAGATTTTATAGAAGAGAAAGACGTACTTGAATTGCTCCGCGGGTTTCGGAGCTGGACTGTTCTGTGCCATGATTAATGCGAATTAGGATCCCGCACCTGTCAAAGAAATTGATGGAATTAATGAAAAACAGTAGCAATGATTAATTGTCAAATTATTGTCGATGAGAAAAAGAACGATGTTGTAATCTTTTCTGTCGCATAATAGCAATTATTTCAAATTTATAAATATGAACATGCACAAGATTCTTCAAATTTATAGTGGAAAAGCTTCTTAGTGTCGAGAAGGTATATTTGTCTGCAAAATCGAGGGTAATTTGCCAGTGTGGCATCAGTTAAGCCGCAAGCGTTAACTGTGCGACACTGCAGCAAGGATTGCACGCTAAACAGTAGTCAAAATATTGTGCCAAAACTTGAAGGCCACTTCATCACATAAAGCATTTTTATTTCGCGGCGCGCGTCAGTCGGACAAATTGCATTTTCCGGGCAAAGATTAACGCGCGATGCACAGTACGCAAATAGTTATATACTGTTGTCATCATTTTCCGACTTAATAAGACATCGATTGCAATCGAGCGGGAAGCCTAGAAATAGCAAAACTCGAAATTATCCTTCCCCCTATTGACCTGTCGCGCGATAATGAAAGCCGCATTAATATTCTTTTTCCTTGGCATCTGACGAGAGCCAGGTGGTCTATCTATATTTGCGTTTACATTTCCCTGCGTAACTTCTATTTTCATTCCTTGTTTATTTTCGATATTGGAAGGCTCCCGCGGATGATAATCGCTGTCGACATTTTCACCGAACAACGAGAACAGGTTCTGGCCACAGGTCTCGCCTGACAGTGACTCACGTCTTTTCCGGAGCTTGTTTTCCCTGTTTAATTATGTATTTTGATACGCCGCGATATTGCCTTGGAAACTTATTCTCTCCAAAGGCCGAGGATGTCAATTAATTCGGTCGCGTGCGGGGACGACCACGAGGTTCGCTCGTTTCGTTATACAAAACGGGCATTGACATCCCACAATAGTGCAATCAGTGTGACGCCGCAGTCGAACAGAAATTGCTATCGGCCCGTATCGAAGATGTATATAGATACACGTGCACACACAAGCACACGCGAGCGGGGACAAATCGGCAATCTGCCGATTGTGAGCAGCGCAAATTGATTTCGTTCTATCTGCCTCTCCCGATCTCTTACATAACGCTGTACAGCTGTAGGCCGAGTCGATATCACTCTTGCGCGAGTTGTAATTCATTCCGAGTCCCGTCTGCGAGTACCGTCCCAATGAATGAACGGAGAAAGGGAATTTAACTTGGAGCAATTTCTCTTTATCTCCTCACGGAGTTACAAGTCTCTGCAAAGAGCGAAGCGTATAACGATAAAAGCTGATGCACTTCGCGGAGAGTTAAGCGCGAGAATTATTGTTGCCGTTGCATGTGTATCTAATTCTTACGTTTAAATGAGCGTAGATAAAACGCATCTTATTTTGTTTGCGTCAAGAGCACATGCTGCGCCGTTTTATAAATGAAAAAAATATGTTTTTTTTTACGTAATCTCAAGCTAAGAATTAAGGGAGAAACTCGAATAACGAAATCTCGGAAGTTATCAGAATTATTATTATCTTATCTGCTCTAGTAGTTCGTTGCAATACACATAGGAGCAATTCTTGAGTAATTATCGATTTAATTCATTGAACTATAGGAGTACGAAGAAACTGATGATTTTCAAAATTATAGTTTTAAAGATAAAATCGATACATACGACGCAGCATTAAAACTTAAGGATAAATCGAAAGCTTCGAAAGATAATCATAATTTTTAGAATCATTATAATTATATTTTAAAATACATAAATACGATTGTTAATTTAGATATATATATGTATATACAATTTTGATTATCATACATTTCAATTGCAAACAAATTTAATAAATTATAATTATGGTCATTATTAAAATTGTACTTACATAATTACTTAACAATTGAAATTATGTAATTATAAATGAAATTATAGACAATAATAATTTCAATGATTAAGTTATATAAGTACAATTAATAATGACCATAATTATAATTTATTAAATTTGTTTGTTAAAAACATAATATCGCGTAAAATGTATCGCAGGTGAGATACGTATATCACTGCTATATATATATATATATATATATATATGTCAAGTTACATTTGCAGACTGATGGATTTGGAGAATTGGATTCTCGCGTGTTGAAACGAAATGAGGAATTTCTCCGTGTTAGAGGAATACATTGTATGGAGTGCCCTAGATTCCGAGCCATGTCTTCATTTTTTATAAATTTCGGAGCAGATCTTTTGAACGTCACCGTCTAAATTTTGAAAAATAGATACATATACTTTATATTTTTATTACAATTATATACTTTTTATAAAGTGGTTATACGGCATAATATTTGTAATATATAATCTATTTTTGTATATATTTATAATATTTTAAAATATATAAATTACTATATATTATAAATATATACGAATGTACATGCTATATATAAAAAAATTTATAAAATTCAATATTAATTGAACAAACCGAGAAGTCTTGTTTCTAAAGATATTCTTGAGAAAATTCAAGAGCAACTACAAAGATAAATACGATCCAGTGCATCACGCGCGCGAAATCTTTGCAGGTTATGTTAAAAGGCCAGCAGGCCGCGCGAGCGATCAGCTGATTGAGCTAGCTGCCGTGCTATCGATGTATGTATGCACGTCGTGGCTGCGGACCTGTTCGGCCGAAACGAATGAAATCCCGCGGAGGATTGAAAATAACCCACGCTTCGCGACGCTAACGCATCGCTATGTCAAGTCTATTATTATTTTCGACCTCTGGAGCGCGCTCGTGAAAATCAAATACTATCATACGCGTTCGATCTTTTCGGAGCAAAAACGTACGTTATTCCCTTTCCTCCTCTTCCTGCGTCTTATCGCGCGAAAGAAAAAAAATCGATGCTTCTGATTGATGCTAAAATCAGCAACGAGCGAGGAAAGATCGACGAGTTCAACTTACCGGTCAAGCGAATCCGAGGTGCACGCAGTGGTCGTCCCGCGACCGACGTTCCCGCTGACAACGGAGGTATGTATAATGTGCCCCGCGTTCCCGCGATGACGAGTCGAGAGATATGCGATCCGGAACGGCACGATTAGCCGCGGACCACCGGCAGACTCGTTTCCTTCACGTCGGCCGATTCCAATTCCGCGTGCAGCATTAGCGACGATCCGTCAACGGCGCTTTTGACAGGTGCTCCGAAGCCACCGAACATCGAGGCGATCACCAGGCGCTCACATGCGCGCGCGCGCAGACGCGGATCACGCACAGGCTGTCAGGCTCGCACCGCCCCGTGGATGCGACATTCGAAAATCCCTCTCCACGGATCTTCCGCGTCTCATCTTTCCCTAGATCGTTTCGGTCACCGACGAAGTTATTGCATCGGACAAATCTTCGCGATTGTCAAGTGAACCGAATCGCCGGAATAACGAATAGAGATATGCCGTGCGGTCGCACCATCTTTGCAACTGATCGTATTATTTTGTTTTCTTTTGTCCATTTTTGATAAATTATTATTTGTTTATGTAAAATATTTTGTAATTGATAATTCTTAAATGTAATTGACCAATCAAGCTAATGGAGAATTCGAAGATGACGTCGGGACGTTATCATCTCCGAATTCGCGATTTTAGACACCTAAATTCGAGTCTCCGCTAAGTGAAGTTCAAATCTTCGCTAAGTGGGGTTTGAGTCTCCGCTAAGTGATCGGATTCGAATGCGCGTTGCGGGAGCATAAATAAATTCAATAAATCTCCACTAAAATGTGGTTCGAGTCTCTGCTAAGTTGGGTTCGAGTCTCCGCTAAGTGGAGTCAGTGGAGTTCGAAGTAACTAATTAATCCATAATTTAAATGTTGATAATTCTGGTTTGGGGTTGCTAATTTACTTTGAAACAAAACGTTTGAATAATCATAAATAAAAAATATAAGTTAAATTTATAAAACGTTTGAACTTAATTGTCACGAACGTTATAAATCGAGGAGAGTTTAATATATTGATATCTAAAGATGAGTGATAACTCAGACAACACCACAGGAAAAAATTTTTCGTACAAGAACATATACATATAAATACATATAAACATATATAAAAATATATAATTATACATAATTAAATGCGAAATATGTTCATACATATTCATATATAATGTTTTCTTTTCTTTGTAAAATTATTTTATATAATTGTTATATATAATTTTATATAATTATTATATATAATTGTTTGATACAAGAAAAATGATAATAAAATAAAATAAAAAATCAAGTTTTGAAATGAGAAAAAATTGCAGTTCATATATAATTATATATGTATATTTTTAATCATTTATATATGTATTTATTTATATAAAAACTTGAACTTTTTGAATACTCCCTTTTCTGCTATTTATATTTAATATCTTTTTATGTATAGTATACAGAGAAATAATATTGCATTTCTAAAATAATCTGCCTCTTTCCATCAAAGAAACAGATTGTTTTGGTGAATGAATTTATAAATAAAAGTATAGAGTTGTTTTCGCATTTATTTACTAGCCGAATTCCAATCTACAATACAAGCTCTATAACACGTACTAGACTCAATTATTCGGTGGGATCGTCTTAGAGCGAGCGTGACTAGAACTGAAAATCAAACTAATTCTATAACATTAAATTCTTTGATATCACAATGTAATTGAGAAATATATCACAATTTAATTGAGTATATATTATTGCACTAGAGGTTTCATTTCGCAGACTTTCACTGCTATATATGTGGAAATATAATTTTTTTTAGGCTACTTTGCGCTGCAGATTTATTCCATGTTTCGATCATTATCCGTTTTTTAAACTGTATCCTAGGCAAATCTATTTGATCATCATCTGCAAAATAGAACATTTCTACAATTCGACATAAATAGCTATTGTATAAACGAGAAACTTCTAGAACACTTAAATAATACACGTAATAATTTTTTGAAGCATTTGATGACAGCATGTGGCAATTTCCAGCATTAACATAATTATAATTACAATGCAATTAATCAAAACTAAAGAAAATAAAGGCGATCTCGCACTTGAAAGGGTCTGCGAGCCGCCACGTCATGGCCGTTTCTGGTATGTGTGGAACATTCGAACACAGGCAATAGAATTATAAGGAACAGCAGGGGAAGAATAGAAACGATTGAACTACTATGTGGAATGTGTAAGACATATTGGACTATTAAGAAGAGAGAAGACTCGTGTCATATTTTTCTCAATCGAATTGTATCAGAAAAAAAGCTGCCAAATACGGAAACCAAAAATTTTTGAAAATTTTTTACGCAATTAATTGCCTTTTGTGCTCATACTTAATATTTCAGATCAAATATATACGTTTTTGTATTTGATAAATTGGACTATTGATTCACCAAAAAAAAATGTTCTACTTATAAGCGGGAAATTCCTTTACACATTTCCTCTAAGCAAAAAAATTTTACATAAAGCATATTCTTCAGCTATAACGCGTATTTATCTACAAAAAAGTGACATAATTGCGCAATAATTAAGAATATTATCTACAAAGAAGTGGCGCATGCGCTATAATCAAGAATACATTTTCATAGTAATTCGATATTCCTCTACATTTTAGAACATCCTCTTGAGCCATATATGAGGAAAATTTTTTAGCATCAAGAGGGTTCCTCTAAAGGATAGAATATTTTTTTGGGTGTTATTACTAGCGAGATCCGCTAAAAAATAAAGTGTTTTTAAAAAGAAAGAAAAAGAAGAAATTCAGCGACCGTCGGACGGACTTGTTGCACGCAAATTCCGGACTTCTGATTTTCACAAAAAGTAAGCAAATCATCGATACAGGTATTAAAGGACCATCATATTTAAAATCTTCCCTGCGGACGTATCACATATTCAATATTTATATATACAGGGTGTTCAAAAATTCAACTGACAAACTTTTAGAGATCAAAAAGACCATTTTTTACACATGGACCTAGGGTCGAAAGCGTGTCGTTACATTGCTACGGCAGACAGTTCGAAAAAGGTCGGACCTCGAAATATCTAAAAAAATATAAGTTTTATAAAAAATTGTTTTAGACAAAAGTTGTAAGGTGTTAAAAGATTTTTTATTTACCCTACAACTTATCTTTTTTGAGATATTTCGAGATCGATATTTCTATATGTGTACATATAAATATCAAGATTGATGGTAAATAGTCATAAAATTAAAAATTAAATAAAGTTAAAAAATTAATAACTTATAACTAACTTTGTTCATTTTAAATAAATTATTTCTTTTAAATTTAACTAGTTATATTTGAAACATTTTAATTTTTTTCTAATAAGTTTTTCTAATAATTTTTTCTCTTTAAAAAGAGCTAATATTTTTCTTTTCTATAAAGATTTTACAAACAACGTCAGACAATCAGCATTTTGCAGCCACGTCCTTCACAATTGTTATTACAATTACGTGACTTTTCAAGCATGTATAATTATTTATGTTCAAAACACGTTTAGTCCATTATTATGTCCAAAACGTAAAATACTGATATTGTCTGACTTTCCGTCTTTAGGCTAAAAAAACGTTAAATATACATTTGTTGAACTATCGAAGAATTTCGTATAAAATATAATGATTTTAAACTAAAAAACGACGTTATAAACGTCTTATAAAATGTTTTTATAACGTTATTAAACATTTAAAAAAACAGATGAAATTTTAAGCATTTATTTTTCAGCTTGTATGTTTAATTTATTATACGATTTTTAAATATATTTTGAATATAGCTATGTTGCTAGGATTTATTACTTTAAATAGAAAGAAACAATGATGAATTTTACTAGCAATTATAATTTTAAAGGAAAATTAAGAAATTAAATATTAAAATAGTACTTCTATTAAAATTCAATTATTTTTTTATAATATGTATATATGTATTTATTTTATAGTATAGATGTATTGTATTTTATTACATTATTATATATTTTTTTATCATTTTTGTATATAATAATGTATTATACAATATATTGTGTAATTCCAATTAATTTTATACTAGTTCTTATTCTTAATAAACATATATGTATATTATACATATACAGTGCGAAAACGTTTTCTGGAAATTCTCTTTGATCATATCAAGCACTGTCTGCGGTTTCTTCTGAATTTCTTTAACAGTTTCAAAACAGCGCTCATGCAATTTCATCTTCATTTTTTTGAGAATAAATGATTTAGCTGCCTATGACTTTTTTTATTCTTTTAATTTCTTTCACTTAATTTTTCAGACAAAATGATAGAAATAAATACTTTAGGATGGATTGACTATCTGGTTATAGCGGTAATACTGTGCATATATGTTGGAATAGGTATATATTACAGATTTAGCGGAGGGCGTCAGAAAACTACGGAGGTAATTATTATTGTTAGAAATCTTCTTTTTGAGGAAAATCCCTTAAGACAAGGGATACTTTCTTCTTTAATTCTTTGTAAAGAGTAATGTGTTTCACAGGAGTACTTTGTTGCAAGTCGATCAATGAGCATCGTGCCAGTCGCTATCGCTATGGTAGCCTCCTTCCTATCTGCCATTGCACTACTCGGTATATCAGCTGAAAATTACACATATGGAACGCAATATGTAGTAATTAACGTATCATATCTATTGGGTACTTCAATAGTATGCTACGGATTCTTGCCAGTATTCTTCAAGCTCCAAGCCACGAGCGCTTACGAGGTGAATCTAGCGAAACTTATAATTTTGCCGTAAAAAGTTTTCAATGGCACGTATATTTGAGGGCATATTATTTCTTTTAGTACTTAGAAAAACGTTTCGGACTAAAGGCTAGAATAATGACTAGCTTTATTTACTGGATTCAGCTGCTGTTGTATTCAGGAGTGGTGCTTTACGCTCCTTCTATAGCCTTAGAGGCTACTACAGGAATCTCGAAAATTGTCAGCATTATTATTTTGGGCCTCGTGTGTGCCTTCTATTCGAGTATAGGCGGCATTAAGGCTGTGCTAATGACTGATGTATTTCAAAGTTTGCTCATGTTTACCGCTGTGTTCTTAATTATTAGCAAAGCTGCGAATGACGTCGGGGGCCTGGGTCAGATCTGGGAAATCGCGAGGCAGGGACAACGGCTCGTGTTTGATAGGTATCTCATCAATTTTTCTATTATTAGTTACATGAGTTTTCTGGAAATCATGTACACGTAGGCATTAATTGACGTTTTACTTCTGTTAGCTTCGATCTGGATCCAACAGTAAGGCATACATGGTGGTCTGTTACGCTGGGTGGATTATGTACATTTTTAACACTTGTCGGAGTAAACCAAGTACATATACAACGCATGCTGTCTGTGAAGTAAGTTTTATAATTTGAGTGACAGTGGATAAATTAAAAACATTATATAACATTTAGAACAATTGCTGACGATTTATGTATCGTATTTAAACCGATGACAAGTTAATCATATAATTTTAATTTTTTTCTATTTGCGTTCAATAATTTCTTTTCTCTCTTAACAATACGTTTATTGATCAAATTGTGTTTGAAAAAAAATTGACGAAGACTGCGCTAAATAAATTTTATTTTAGAAATATGCAGGCTTCGCAAAAGGCCATGTGGCTATCTTGGCCCATTACGACACTTCTCATAACCACTACTTGCTTCTCAGGATTGGCGATATATAGTAAATATTATAAATGCGATCCAATTCTTAAGAGAAGAATTATTTCAACTGATATGCTTATGCCATTGTATGTTATGGACACAATGTCCACTATTCCTGGTTTACCAGGCCTCTTTGTTGCAGGTAATATTTTTATCGCAAATAGACTGGTTCTTTAATGTTTCATAGAAATTACATGTCAATTAAAATAAAAATATTTAAACGTACAAAAGTTTTTATATGTAATTTCACGATAATTTTAAAATAAAATTGCGCAATGGATATGCCTACAATATGAATTTTGGATCTGTCCTTTTATATATAATCAAGATAATAGTTTTGAAACGAAAGTGCATAGTAGATTTTTTAAATATTAATTTTGTCTATGTATTTTCAGGTATTTTTAGCGCAGGCCTCAGCACGATTTCTGCGGCGTTAAATTCTCTGGCGGCAATAACGTTGGAGGATTACCTGAAACCCTTATATAAAAAGTGCATTGGACATGAATTTTCCCCTACAAAATCAGTCTACATTGCTAAAGTGTTTGCTTTTACATTCGGTATTATTTCCATTGTTTTGGCGTTTTTAGCTCAATTTTTGGGTGGAGTACATCAGGTAATGCTTATTACTATTTCTAAGACTAAACTAAGATTAATAGCGAAAAAATAAATTTTTTAAATCTTAGGCTTTCTACTCTATTATCGGAGTAACTGGCGGTCCGTTGTTAGGCATTTTTATGCTTGGCATGGGCACGGAATCGGCGACAGAAGGTGGTGCGATAGCTGGTGTTCTCACGGCGTTTTTATGTTTATCTTGGATCGTCTTCGGTGGGTCTCACCCGATACCATCTAAATTGCCAATTACTATTGAAGGCTGTGATAATAATATTACAAATATGACAATATCTGTCACCAGCTCTTACAAGTAAGTTATTCGAATAACAGCTACACGAAAGAACGGCTTTGCTGATGAATATAAAAATTAATTTAAGCTAGACACGAAATCCGAAAATAAAATTGTTGGGTTGTTATGTTGATAAATAATAGAACAGAGTGATTTCTAGCAAAATATATTTAATCATCAATAATGAAAAATTAATAAAAATAGTATGCTTGGTTGAACTTTAATGTCACTCACACAGAATAGAAATAAATTCAGAGTAAGCCCCTGGCTTTCTTAACGAGAGCTGTAATCACACAACGTATCGCAGAAAAAAAATTAAATCTTTAACTAATTAAAGGAAAACTTCTACCAATCAGACAGAAGAAAGCGATATCCTCTTTGTATTTACCAAAAATATTTGATTAATACTAATCAATTTGCTTTAATACTAATCTAAAACTTATTTATTATAAGGTTCATTTGCTACACTCGTTCACTCGCAAATGAAAGTAATTTTTATATATTTCACCAAAACCATTTTTGCCATGTATACACACGTGAGATTATCTAATGGATTGTCGTATCTTCTTTTTAGAAATACCGACGACAGCTCATACTTCTATTTGCATCGCATTTCATACATGTGGTATTCCCCCCTCGGATTCTTAATAACGTTCTTTTTTGGACTGCTTATTAGCAATCTGTCTCGTTTATTTATCAAGAATCAAAACAACGAGTTAGACATTAATTTATTCTTTCCCATGATAGCGCGACGTATACGTTCTAGGCGATGTAATATCATAACAAACGAAGAAAATTCATTGTTAAACAGAAAGTATTCTTTCAGCGGCGTAATCCACGGGGAAGACGTACGTTGCCGCCCATAAAATCTGTGCAAAACTCTAATATTTTAATTGAAATTTTTTATATTAAATTTTTTAAAGTGTGACATAAATAAAAATATGTATTTTTAAGGTAATAAGATAATAATAAAAGAGATATATAGAGTACGAAAATGATAATAAATAAGTGTACGAACATTTAAGTGTATGAAGAGTTATTTAAGTTTACCATGTGATTAGGTACTTCAATATTTGATTTGATTAGATATAAAATCTTTACAAAGATGATATAGTCATAAATGTTGCATTCTATTGCATCTAAAAATGAGACGGTACGTATATCCGGCGAGATATCATCCGAGATATCATCCTTGGCTGCAATACTTATTAGAAAAAACCGCTAAAGAATTCAGTGCTACAGACTGACAACCTTATCATGTCATTCTTGCTTTGCGTGAAGTTTTATTTAAATCACCTATCAAAGAAAGCCTGTAGTTTCTTGAATGCCAATAAGAATATAACGACAAATATCAATATTATCAAAGCTTTAATGAAGTCAAAGATCGAAATGATAATACATTTCTGGTATCTGCTACACGTGCCTCACGTTATCTAGCTGAGATAGCCATATTGCTAATATATCTATGCAACCTGAAAAGACTCTTATTAAAGCTATTAGTGTGGTGTGACTTCTCTGATCTTTCCCGAGACAGGTTGAAATTGATCTATTAAGTTAGAAGATTAAGTAAATTAGATTATCTACAAAAACTAAATCTTACAACTTTCTCTATTTAAATTAAGCAACATAATTCTTTAATTTAACATTTTAGATGAAAATGACGCAAATAAATCCCTTAGGATGGATCGATTATCTAGTTATAGCGGTAATGCTGTGCATAAGTGCTGGAATTGGTATTTATTACAGATTTAGTGGAGGACGTCAAAAAACTATGGAGGTAATTATTATTATTCTGAGAATATTATTGTTAGGTGATTATTTAGTGTTAGAACTCTTGTTAAAACAAGTCGTTTTATTTCTTTTTAACGCGAGGCTGTAATAAAGAATAACATGTTTCATAGGAGTATTTCATTGCAAGTCGATCAATGAGCACTGTACCAGTCGCCATCGCTTTGGTGGTCTCCTTCCTATCTGGAATTACGATGCTTGGTTCATCCGCTGAGATTTACACATACGGGACGCAATACGTTATGATGAACATTGCGTATATTTTAAGTACTCCCATTATATGCTATGGATTTCTACCAGTCTTCTACAAGCTACAGGCGACAAGCGTTTACGAGGTCAGTTTAGCAAAATTTAATTTTATGACAGGAAGCTTTTGATAGCAAGTATTTGAAGAGATATTACTTCTTTTAGTACTTGGAAAAGCGTTTTGGAATAAGAGCTAGAATGATGGCTAGTTTTCTTTTTTGGATTCGATTGCTTTTGCTCTCAGGAATAGTGCTTTATGCTCCTTCTCTGGCCTTGGAGGTGACCACTAGAATGTCTAAGACTGCCAGCATCATAATTATTGGCCTCGTATGCGCTTTCTATTCTAGCTTAGGCGGTATTAAGGCCGTGGTAATAACAGATGTATTTCAAAGTTTGCTTATGTTTGCCGCTGTGTTCTTAATTATTGGTGTGGCAGCGAGTGATGTCGGATTAGAACAGATCTGGGAAATTGCGAGGCAGGGGCAACGACTCGAGTTTGATAAGTATTGCATCGATTTTTCTATATTAATTGCATAAGTTCGGCAAATAGCGTACCCTTTGAAAAATGATATTTTATTTTTTTTACAGCATTGATCTGGATCCAACAGTAAGAAATACCTGGTGGACTACTGTACTGGGTGGTTTATGTATAGATTTATCGCTTCAAGGAGTGAATCAAGTACAAATACAGCGTATGCTGACTCTGAAGTAAGTTCATAATTTAAGTAACACTGAATGAAATTGAAAATTATAAAAATTATGCAAGAGCAATTACTGACGTTTTGTTTATATGTAGTTAATAAAATTAACGTTGATAATATAAAGTTAATTTTTTCTTGTGTTCACGTTATTAAATAATCTTCTATTTTAACATGACGTTTACCAATTAAACTGTGTTCGAAAAAAATAAAAATATAACATTGAATAAATTACGTTTTAGAAATTTGCAGGCCTCGCAAAGAGCCGTCTGGCTCGCTTTGCCCATACGGTTGCTTCTCTCGATCGCAATTTGCTTCTCAGGATTGGCGATGTACAGCAGATATTACAATTGCGATCCGTTGCTTCAGAAAAGAATTAGTTCGCTTGATATGCTTATGCCATTGTACGTTATGGACACGATGTCTAACATTCCTGGCTTACCAGGCCTCTTTGTTGCAGGTGATATATATCGTGATATTTATCACGAACTGACTGATTCGAACACTTAATGTCTCTCAAGTTACATTTATTATAAGTTACGAAAATGAAAGTCTTTGAAAATATCAGTGTTTTTGAAATATAATTTACGTGTAATTTTAAAATAAAATTGTAAAGTAAAAGTGAGCAATAGCTGTGTTTACAAATGCTAATTTTGGACTCTTTCCTTGTCTTAATTTGTCTTTGCATTTCCAGGTATTCTTAGCGCAACCCTTAGCACAATTTCTGCGACGTTGAATTCTCTAGCGGCAATAACGTTGGAGGATTATATAAAACCCGTATATAGAAAGTGCATCGGACACGAATTTTCGCCTAAAATATCAGTCCCCATCGCTAAAGTGCTCGCTTTTATGTTCGGTATTATTTTAATTGCGCTGGCATTTTTAATGCAATTTTTGGGAGCATTACAAACGGTAATACATTACTATTTTTAAACATAAAATGGTGATAAAAAGTTTCTTTTATTGCAGACTGCTTATACTATTTCTGGAGTAATAAATGGTCCAATATTAGGCATTTTCACGCTTGGCATGGGCACAGAATCGGCGACGGAAAGCGGTGCGATAATCGGTACTCTTACAGCATATTCGTTTTTGTTCTGGATTGTTTTCGGTCAACCACGCCCGATACCACCTAAGTTGCCAACTACTATCGAAGGCTGTGATAATAGTATTGCAAATATGACGATGTCCGTTTTGCAAAACGGCACAAGTTTCTCCAAGTAAGTCGTTTAATAATAGTTACTTAGAAAAAAAAGGAATTTTTTTCTCATGTCAGTGTAAATACATAAAAATTAGGCGAGATTCATGTATGGAAATAATTATATTGCAACATCAAAATAATTACGTAGGGCGCTCGAGCTGCAGATATAAAATCTATATTGCTATAAAGTCATTTAACGGCATTATTAGTATTATTACAATGCTTGAATGACATAATTATAATAATTCATTGTTATTATCTAATGAATGAACCGTAATATGACAACTGATTGATTAATTTACTCAGATATCATAACAGATTCAATACCGCCTGTGTTCGCTTTCAACTTGTGTTTTGCCGATATAATCTAATAACCCAGACAATATGTATGTTGCTAGATTATATCGGCAAAATGCAAATTGCAAATGGATAGAGCGGATTTTGTTAGCAGAACTGTTAAATTTCCGTTGTCATTCTATCGACAAACTTTATAGCAGGAACTTTCAAAATCTATCTCGATAGATTTGATTAATCGGTTTTTTTTTCAGATGATGGCTTTATTTTACACTTCAAAACCTTTTTTTCCGTGTATACGCACGCGAGATTATTTAACAAATTGTCTATACTTTTTTTCAGAAGCACCGGCGATAGCTCGTACTTTTATTTGTATCGCATTTCGTATTTGTGGTACTCCTTCCTCGGATTCATAATAACATTCTTACTTGGATTGCTTATCAGCAATCTATCTCGTTTACTCCTGAAGAATCAGAGCAACGAGTTAGACCCTAATTTATTCTTTCCCGTAGTAGCACGTATACGTTCTAGATATAAGGACGTAAAGAATGATAAGTAGTTCTTATTGTTAGTTAGACAGAAATCTTTTCACGAGTAATTAGAAAACAATAAACAGTCGCGCCAATAAAATGTATTATATGTAAAATATTTTAATTGTAATCTTTTTAAGTTTTTTAAAGTTTAAAATAAATAAAGTACTTTTGAAGTAATAAATAGAACAGAGTATGAAAATAATAATGAGCAAGTGCAGTGCGAATACTTAAGTGTGTGAAGAGCTATAAGTTATGTAATTAGTTACTTCAATATTTAACTAGATATAAAATCATTATAAAGAGCAAATAGTCATAAAAGTTACGTTTTATCGCATTAAAAAATGAGACGTTACGAATAAATTATACGAGATATCATTCCACTTGGCTACAATACATTTGAAAGACCGTTAAAGAATTCAGTGCTACAGAGGGGAAGCCTCATCATTTCATTAAGGGCTCTGATTTCGCATAATGTCTTATCTCATCAAAATTACAATCTGTCAAATAAAACCTGTAGTTTTTAAAATAGATTATCAATAAGAGTATGATGACAGATGTTATCAAAAGCTTTGGTACAGTCGAAGAAGATCGAGATAACACTTTTGGTATCTGCAGCGTGTCTCACGTTATCCAATCGAGGCAGCAATATTGCTGGAATAGCAATCTGGAAAGACTCTTACTAAAGCTGTTTGTGCGATGTGACCTCTTCGAAAGACAGGTTGAAATTGGTTTAATAAGTTAGAGACCTCTAAATAATTTGTGATTTGCTCAACAACAAATGCGTTTAAGCGCTTTGAAAGTGAAGCAGAGAATTGAGAGAGACCTGTGATAATTCAGCTTAGAAGGAGATCTCACTTTTGATATAGAATAGATAATAGCTGATTTCCATTCCGGTTTGGATACACTCCAAAGGTGAGACAGTAAGTGATTGGTAATATATATAACTGTAGGAATGATCCACCCAATTTGCCTGTTTTAATGCCGACTGTTTTTACTTTAGTTCTTAAATGAAAATTTGCTATAAAAGAGGTAACAAAGTGTCATTGACTTAACTAAAGAACGGAAAGCAACATCTTGGGAAGAAACGTTTCTTAGGCATATTAAATTATTATATATTTAAATATTTATGTAAGCGATGTAAACGTGGTTCGGAAGCTGATAGGGATTAATAATAATAAATTTTTCGATCTTTTTGTGTGTTTAATATTTAAATGTAATATTACTTTTTTTGTGTGTGTATTTAAAAAAATATATTTACGAATTGATGTTGAGATTAAATACTCTTATATGGAAATTGACAACATGACTAAAATTTAAGTTTAATCGCTAAAAAAATGTCTCTTCCTCTATCTCTAAATGTAAGACTTGTAATTACACAAAATAATTTATTACTATTTATTGAATTAATCTACAATATGTCCTATTGTGCATTTAAATAAGAAAAAAACATATTATCCTCTTTATTTGACCCGTAAATAATTTTTAGGGCTTTAAAATTTCTTATATCAATTTTTAAATCTATCTCATTGATATTTAGTTAAATATTACTTTTATTACTACACCGAATTACACTACAACTTTTTTTCGTTTTCGCAAATGCCAAATGTATACACATATTATACATCATTTTAAATACACTAGATTAACTATAAAATCCTAGATTTTATATCTTCTTTCCTTTTAAAATTAAGCAACATAATTCGTTGATTTGACGTTATAGAAATGACAAAAATAAATACCTTAGGATGGATCGACTATCTGGTTATAGCGGTGGTGCTGTGCATAAGTATCGGAATTGGTATTTATTACAGATTTAGTGGAGGACGTCAAAAAACTATGGAGGTAATTATTATAAGATCCTCTTATTAAAAGCAGAAGTCGCTTAAAACAAAGTTATATCTTTGTAACGTATTGCTATAATAAATGGTTACGTGTTTCACAGGAGTACTTTGTTGCAAGTGGATCAATGAGTGTCGTACCAGTCGCTATTGCCATGGTAGCTTCCTTTCTATCTGGCATTGCATTGCTTGGTTCGTCCGCTGAGAATTACATATACGGGACGCAATTTGTTGTAGTATGCCTAGCGTATATCTTAAGTATTCCGATTATATGCTATGGATTTCTACCAGTTTTCTTCAAGCTGCAGGCAACAAGCGCTTACGAGGTCAGTTTAGCAAAATTTGATTTCATAGATAGTATTTGATAGTACATATATGTATTTGAAAAGATATTACTTTTAGTATTTAGAAAAGCGTTTTGGAGTAAAAGCTAGGATGATGGCTAGTTTCGTTTACTGGATGCAAATGCTTTTGTACTCAGGAGTGGTACTCTATGCCCCTTCTTTAGCCATAGAGGCAACCACAGGAACCTCCAAGATTGCCAGTATCATTATTATTGGTCTCGTATGTGCTTTCTATTCGAGCTTAGGTGGCATTAGGGCTGTGCTAATAACGGATGTATTTCAATGTTTGCTTATGTTTGTCGCTATATTCTTAATTATTGGCACAGCAGCGAATGATGTTGGGGGATTAGAACAGATCTGGGAAATCGCGAGGCAAGGACAACGTCTCGAGTTTGATAAGTATTGTATCAATGTTTCTACATTAATTGCATAAGTTTTATGAATAGTGTACGCGTACATTCTGAAAATGATGTTTTATTTTTATTACAGCATTGATCTGGATCCAACAGTAAGAAATACCTGGTGGTCTCTTACACTGGGTGGTTTGATTATATTTTTATCGCTTTACGGAGTGAATCAAGTACAAATACAGCGTATGCTGACTTTGAAGTAAGTACTCTAAAATTTAAGTAACACTGGATAAAATTGAAAATTATAAATTATGCAAGAGCAATTGCTGACGCCTTTTTTTATAGTAAATGAAACGATCATATAAAGTTAATTATGTAATTATAATTTTTTCCTGTGTTTACGTTATTAAATAATCTTTTGTCTTAATATCACATTCAATCAATTATCAATTCAATTGTGATGGAAAAAATAAAAATAACTACTATTAAATAAATTACGTTTTAGAAATATGCAGGCCTCGCAAAGAGCTGTCTGGCTCTCTTTGCCCATTCTGTTACTTCTCACGATCGCAATTTGCTTCTCAGGATTGGCGATGTACAGCAGATACTACAATTGCGATCCGTTGCTTCAGAAAAGAATTAGTTCGCCTGATATGCTTATGCCATTGTACGTTATGGACACGATGTCTAACATTCCTGGCTTACCAGGCCTCTTTGTTGCAGGTGATATATTTATCGCGAATTAAATGATGCGGGTTTAATGTCTCTTATATTAGAAGCTACGTATGTTACAAATTATGAATATAAAAATATAAAAATACTAATATCACTGAAATATAATTTTTCTTGTAATTTTAAAATAATTTTAAGATAAAAATGAGCAATAGTCATGTTTATGATACTAATCTCAGACTCTGTCTTGTCATAGTTTGTATTTCTTTTTATATTTCCAGGTATTTTTAGTGCAAGCCTCAGCACAATTTCTGGAACGTTGAATTCTCTAGCGGCAATAACGTTGGAGGATTATATAAAACCTGTATGTAGAAAGTGTATCGGACATGAATTCTCACCTAAAATAGCGGCGTCTATCGCTAAAGTGCTTGCTTTTATGTTCGGTATTATTTCAATTGCGCTGGCATTTCTATCACAATTTTTGGGCGGATTACTTCAGGTAATATATTATTGCTTTTAAACATAAGATGATGATAAAAGAAATTTCTATTGTAGACTTCCTTAACTATTTCTGGAGTAATTGGTGGTCCATTAGTAGGCATGTTCACACTTGGCATGGGCACGGAATCGGCGACGGAAAGCGGTGCAATAGCCGGTGCACTTACGGCATATTCATTTTTGTTCTGGATTGTTTTCGGTCAACCACGCCCGATACCACCTGTATGGCCGACTACTATCGAAGGCTGTGATAATAATATTACAAACATAACGATGTCCGTTTTCCGAAACGCCACAAGCTTCTCCAAGTAAATGATTCATTTAATAATAATTACACAAAAAGAAAGATGTTTTTTTCAGTGTAAATAATAATAAAAATTAGGCTAGAAATGTAGAAACAATTAAGTTAAAATATTAAAATTGTCATATTTTTTTCAGAAGCACCGGCGACAGCTCGTATTTTTATTTATATCGCATTTCGTATTTGTGGTACCCCTTCCTTGGATTCATAATAACATTCTTACTTGGATTGTTTGTCAGTAACCTATCTCGTTTATTCCTGAAGAATCAGAACAACAAGTTAGACATTAATTTATTCTTTCCCGTAGTAGCGCGGCGTATACATTTTAGGCGATGTAAGGATGAAAAGAATGAAGTAGTTCTCCGTTAAATAAACAATATTCACACATACACACACACATACGTATAGAGACACAGTTAAAAACAACGGGATCTACCCATTTTAAGCTGAGAAAGAAAATGCCGCATAGTTTACATTATTTACATTCTTCGTTTCTTACCTGCGCTCCATTCTTCTCTACTTTTTTTCGTACCTGCTCGCCTATTCACTTACTTATAACGCTGATAAATTTTCGAATTTATTAAAACATCTCAAGCATATTCCCAAAGTTTCAGACTTTTAAAATCTGTAAAAGAAAGTCTCTATCTATAGAAGAAAGATTCTATCAACTAAACAAAATAGAATGTTTCTTTAAGACAAAATTTCTATTCTCATGATTTATTTTTTGTAATATAATCTTTTTTTTTATGTTAGTAAAAGTAAAAGATCAATAATTATAATTATTGATTATTCCCACTTGGGTATATCCATGTTAATAAAATAATGTAGGTATTATACTTAACAAATTAATCACTGAATAGTTGACCGAAGTTTGTGATCCAAATTATCATCAAATAAAAAATTTTTATCTCTTAAAAGATTCCATAAATTTCAAATATTCAATCTTATATGAATTTTAGAATTCTTTTATGGAAAATTCCGAGAAACGGAATTTTCTCATAATTTCTTTTAACTCACAAAAAATTTGACTATTGAAAGTTAATCAAATATTAAGAGAATGCAGTTTAGATAAAAGGTAGAATAAATAAAAAATCTAAGTAATAGGGTTTTCCGAATCCTCTGACTTTATTGTTTTCTTTTTTTCTTATATACGTTACGAATAAGGCTATAATTTAAGCTGATTGTTGTTTTTTTTCTAAATACTACAACTTACACTTAACAAATTTAACAATGCAAATGAGTTTTGTTTCTGAAGAGAGAGATAAAAGCAAAAGAAATAAATCGAATTTTCCATTTGTTTTGTTTGTTTTTCTTATCTTTATCTTTCCTTTTTAAAAAGTTTTATAACAATTTCTTCGTTATCTATTTCCTTATCAGCTTTTCGAAACTAATCCGAATAATTCGAAGATTATAACTGGTTTCTTTAAATAACATGAAAACATTAAGCAAATTGGTGATATTTTTATATACTTTAACAAAATAAGCTAATGTAATTTAATTCTTTCTCATTTAGTTGCAGGATTTTTATACATTCTTCATGCGCTCGAGATGCACAAAATGACCTTTGAGATAACGGTTAACTGTATGTTAGCTTTAGATAATTCAAATACCTGATAATTTACATAGACACACAATAAGGCAAAAGCCATAAAGTAATAAAGCAATAAAGCAATTAAAATTACAGAAAAAAATTTGCGTACGTGCATTTCAAAATATAAAACGCAGTTAATTTTATATGAGTTAATTTAAGATAAGTTTTTTGTAAAATTATCTTTATTTAATTTGAACAATATGTATTACAATAGAAGTTATATATTATTAATTATTATTATTAACAAATGTAATTTAAATTTCTCGAAATTATATCAATACATTAAACTTTATGGAAATATGGTTCAATCGGAAAGTTTAAAATATAATTCGTAAACGTATAGCCCGATCGTTCAGCGCATTTAATTATTTATGATAATGCAATACAGGATATATTAAAAATTCATGTACTGGCATATTTTAAAATACAAAATCTGCCTTGAATTCTCAAGAATATCTTTCTCGTGTAAACTGATTATCATAACGAAACGACATTTAATTCTTTCAAACGTGTTTTTAAACGAGTTGATTATGTAAATTATTTGTTAAAGGCATTAACAATAAGATCCGGTAATACCAGTATCGGACGTGACGCGGATTGTATGGACTTTTTACATAGACTGAGCGCTTTACGTATCTGTTTGTAATAGTACGAGTATCTAATCTTACGTCATAGTGGCGTCACAGTATATATGACGTTATTACTCGATGTGACTGAGGCTGCGTTCCTTTTGGCGCTTACAGCGCTTATGAGCATTATTTGTCTTTGTTTAATATTTGATAAACAACAAGGATGAAATGATTTTGTGAGCGCTGTAACCAGCTGTAAGCGCCAAACGGAACGCAGCCTGATAATCATATGTTACAATTTAATATTATGCCGGAACGTTTACTAAACACATTGTATTTCGAAGCACATTGATAAAGAACATGCTACAATTTACATTATTAATTACAACAACGTATGTAGTTAGAATTTTTTAGTGGAAAAGCAAAATTTACTTATGTTACTTATCCCTGATGTGTAGAAATAGCATTATATTTTCAAAACAATGTGTGTCTGTTTCTTTTCATTTGTTGGAACATTTTCTAAATAAACATATTGAAATATGCATTTGTTTGTAAAACTACAATTATACAAAATTATTTAAATTATTTTCTTTTATTTATTGTTTTTTATTTATCAATATTTTATGTACATTTTTTCTAATTGTATAAAATTAAAATTTTACGTTTACATAATACAATTTATTAAAATACAATAATATGTATATTGTACTTATCGTCGGTATCGATTTAATATAACAAGATATTTCGCTTGTTCGTCAAATTCCAACCCACTTCCAGCACAATACCTTATACCGCGGATTATTGAATTCTGTGAGATCTCCTCAAAAACCGACGTGACTAGAATTAAATAAAACTTATTCTGAGATATTAAATTCCTCATCTTTAATATAGAGTATGTAATTGAGAAATATATCACAATCCAACTGAGCATGTATGAATGCACTAAAGAGTTTATTATTAATATTATACAGATTTTCACTGCTATATCAAAATATTATTATTTACCACTTTTCGCAGATGTATTCTATGATTATCATTTCGATAATTATTACTACCGTTTTTTAAGCTATATCCAAGACACACTTATCAAAATCTATAAAATAGGAAATCACTTTGATAATAATAAATCTATAGATTATACGCTGCATATATGATCAAGAAATTTCTGAAGCACTCGTACGACACGTGACAATTTCTAGCACTAATTCCGATCGTAATTATAATTATAATAAATCAAAATCAAAGAAATCAACGATGATCTCGCGCTTAAAGGGTCTACGAGCCGTCGCAGCCGTCCCTGATGTCTCTGGTGTACAACCAGTTGCTGGCCGTAGAATTTCAGGTCTCGAACGATCGAACCACGTGGAGTGTGCGCGAAGCGTCGACTCGCTGGGAAAAGAAAAGCCTCGTCTCCGAGTCACAATTGCCTAGCGGCAGTCGAACAGATTTGTTGTGCGCGGACTCCGGTTTTGTCTGATTGCTCCGATAATTACAACAGGCAAGTTGAGATTGGCATTATACAGATCGTTTCATTTAAAATCTTCCATGTGGATGCACCACGTGTATTATACTATATACATACATATATGTGTATATATATATATATATACATATACACATATATATAATAAGTGCACATATATATGTATATATGACGCGCGTCCCGCAATCCAATCTCGCTTCGCGACCGGTCACTGACAGTTTTACGTAATCACTCGGCGCGTTCGAGCGATGAACCAGATAAACGCACGGCACAACCAGAGACACGGAACGGTTCGCGTTTCCCCGACATTTTATGTCATGAAAATGTGTGTTTCGTGGTCGAACCGTTGTCACCACGATTATCGACATCACGCAAATTATTCGCGCGAGCTCGGATAGAAGAGACGCGTGATATCGGCGAGACGCAGAGCTGATATTAATATTCGCAAAATCGTCACGTGGATTACTTGTTGCTCATTTTTATCTGATATGCTTGTGAAACCTCGATAACAAGAAAGAATGCACTATGAGGAGCGCAGAGAGGAGGGACTGGTGTCAATTGATGACAGAGTCATCAATAAAGAGCTCAGATAATTCAATGTGATCGCTTATAAGCTACAAAACCGATAAAGTTAATTTTGTGTCGTCACATTGCGCAAGGTCAACTACATTATAAGACAATTAGAAATAAAAATATAAACCGCATGTGAAAGTAATTTTGTAAAAATATTCAGCATCTGTTACTTGAATCTCGATGCGCACAAATATGAATTTTATTAAAAAGACACCGTGTGTAATGTTGAGTAAAAAACAATTAGTTGTTCGAATTAAAGATAATTTGATATTTACATGTAATATTATTTTTCCTTTCTCAGTGCTTTGTATGTGCTGAAATGTGATATGCGGAATTAAGGAATTTAATCATTTTTACACGACAAATAAAAATGTTGCAGGAATTTCCAAATTAAAAAGAATATTTCTCTTTTTTTAAAACAATTACTCAACATATTTTACTACTATTTATGAAATCAATGTTTTATTTCAATAAGAGAAAATATATGTGCTTTACTTTATGTCTTTTCGACTTGAAAATAATATTTCTAGAACATAGCCTTAAATTAAGATTTCTTATTTCAGTCCATAAATCTAAAATATTTAAATAATACATATTAATTTAAATCTTCTTTTACACAATATATAGTTATATCGATTTGTTATTTCAGACAAAATGGAGCAAATAAATACCTTAGGCTGGATCGACTATCTGGTTATAGCGGTGATGCTGTGCATAAGTGCAGGAATTGGAATCTATTACAGATTTAGTGGAGGTCGACAAAAAACTACGGAGGTATCATTACTGTTATTATTTCTCGTTAAAGAAAGATAAACCCTTGAGAATAAAGTACCCTTAAACAAAGTACTTACATATTTCTTTTATACGTTTTGCTATAACAAAATGTAACGTGTGTCACAGGAATACTTCGTCGCAAGTCGATCAATGAGCATCATGCCAGTTGCAATTGCCTTGGTGGTTTCCTTCATGTCTGCCATTACGCTGCTCGGTGTTTCCGCAGAGAATTATACATATGGAACACAATTTGTTGTAATAAACCTATCGTATCTGTTGGGCACTCCTATTGTATGTTATGGATTTCTACCAGTATTCTACAAGCTACAGGCGACAAGCGCCTATGAGGTGAATTAAGTGACATTTGATTTTGTCGCGGGAAGTTTCGACGACGGTTTAAAAAATATTACTTCTTTCAGTACTTAGAAAAACGTTTTGGAGTAAGAATTAGGATGATGGCCAGTTTTATTTATTGGATTCAACTGCTTTTGTACTCAGGAGTGGTGCTTTATGCTCCTTCTTTGGCCTTGGAAGCGACCACTGGAATGTCCAAGACTGCCAGTATCATAATTATTGGCCTTGTATGTGCCTTCTATTCGAGTATAGGCGGCATTAAGGCTGTGCTAATAACCGACGTATTCCAAGGTTTCCTTATGTTTGCCGCCGTATTCATGATTATTGGCACAGCCGCGTATGATGTCGGGGGGTTGGGGCAGATCTGGGAAATTGCGAAGCAAGGACAACGACTTGAGTTTGATAGGTATTTCATCTATTGTTTCTGCATATTGCATGAATTATATATGCATAATCGATTTTTCTTTATATTATAGAATTGATTTGGATCCAACAGTAAGACATACCTGGTGGTCTCTTACTCTGGGTGGTTTATGTACATTTTTATCACTTTACGGAGTGAACCAAGTGCAAATACAACGTACGCTGACTGTGAAGTAAGTTGCATAATTTAAGCAATGCTGGATAAAACTAACAATTATCAAATAGACTGGAGCAATTGCTGACGCTTTATTTGTCATATTTCGAAATGATGACAAGTTAATAATTATTTTTTATTTATTTTATTAATTTAACTTCTCGTTTTACGTAACGCTTACCCATTAAATCGCGTTTAAAAAAATTCGAAAGCTGCATTAAATAAATTTTATTTTAGAAATTTGCAAGGTTCGCGAAGAGCCATGTGGTTGTCGTGGCCCATTCTGTCAGTTCTCTCGATCACAACTTGCTTCTCAGGATTGGCGATATATAGTAAATACCATAATTGCGATCCATTCCTTCAGAAAAGGATTACTTCGCCTGATATGCTTATGCCATTGTACGTTATGGACACGTTGTCCAATATACCTGGATTACCAGGCATCTTTGTCGCAGGTAATTTTTTATTGACTGGTTTTGATTTAATATTTTGTATCACGAAATATAAAATTAAGAAATATCTGAAAGTATCGATGTCTGAAATATGATTTTATACATATTTTCAAGACAATTTTAAAACAAAAGCGCGCTGTTAACATATTTACAATAATCTTGGGTCTCTATTTTTTTTTTTTTTATGAAAATGCAGTGGATAATTGTAATACTAATTTTGAATTCTCTATATTTCCAGGTATTTTTAGCGCAGGTCTGAGCACGATTTCAGCTGCGTTAAATTCTCTGGCTGCAGTGACGTTGGAGGATTATGTGAAACCTATATGGAAAAAATGTATCGGGCGTGAGTTCTCTCCGACAAAGTCAGCCTCCGTCGCAAAAGTACTCGCTCTTATGTTCGGTATTATTTCCATAGCCCTGGCATTTTTAGCGCAATTAATGGGCGGACTACTTCAGGTAATGAAACTCATTAGTAAACGTAAGACCGATTTCAAACGGAAGACCAATGGCGATAATGTAATTTTGTTAATTATAGGCTTCCTTAACTATTTTCGGAGTAGTCGGCGGTCCGTTGTTAGCCGTTTTCACTCTTGGCATGGGCACGGAATCGGCGACGGAAGGTGGTGCAATAGCTGGTGCACTTACAGCGTTTTCATTTTTATTCTGGATTGTCTTTGGTCAGCCACGTCCGATGCCACCTAAATTGCCGACTACTATTGAAGGCTGTGATAATAATGTTGCAAATATAACGATGTCCATTTTGCAAAACGTCACGAGCTTATCCAAGTAAGATTCATTGAATAATTGCTATACGAGAAGAACGGTTTTTGCTGATAAATTTAAAAATTAGGACGAACATTGAATTTTTTAAACATTTAAGTAGTTACGATACGGTAGATTTTGTTGAATTTCTGTTATGATATATTATTTTATTAGCAGATTCTTTTATATTTCTGTTGATATTTTATTGACAAAATTTGTAGTAGATACTTTCTGTTCTCGATAAATTTATATAGCTATCTGGGTATTTTCAAATCGGTACCTAGCTTAATTTTTATACATTACAACAAAAACTGTTCTGTCCATATAACGCACACACAAGATTATTTAACAAATAATTGTATCTTCTTTTCAGAAGCACCGGTGACAGCTCATACTTTTATTTATATCGCATTTCGTACATGTGGTATTCTCCCCTCGGATTTTTAATAACATTCGTACTAGGTTTGCTTGTCAGCAATCTTTCTCGTTTGTTTATGAAGAATCCAAATGATGAAGTAGACGCTAACTTATTCTTTCCTGTGATAGCACGGCGTATACGTTATAGGCGACGTAACGACATAGAAAATGAAGGAAGTTCTCCGTTAGACAGAAAATATTCTCTTAACGAAATTATTCACGGGAAAGACGATGCTTCCAATAAAATTTGTACAAAACTCTAATAGTTTCATGATCTAGTTAAATTTATTTGTCTAATAATTTAATTGTAATCTTAGGTGTTAGACATTCCGTACTTACAGTCAAAAGAAATGTTTGGACGTTGTGTTTGGACTTAAAGGGAAAGAAAATAAAAGTATTTTTATCATCTCTTAGGACCTAAATAAAATTTTGGGGAAATTGGCGATTAACAAATTTTATATATTACTTAGAACAAGCTATGTGTATTTATAAGAATTTAGAAGACATTTTTGCACAGGCACATACAACAATTTGTTTATAGTATTATTTTTCTAGATTGTTTTATTCTAATAAGTAATGTTAAACAATTGTATGTATGTTGAATTGCAACATAAATGTTACGTCTTCCATAATTTGGGACTGCCAGTTTGTATACCGTAGAAATGGAAATCTCTCGCAAATAGAATGATATTTGAAATAGCTGTGCGTGCTTTCTGCAAAACTTTTACAGTAAAACATATCTCTGTGAACATAATAATTTCAGTTCCTGTTATATGTATAAGTTTCGTAGATATACTCGAAAGAAATCTACCTCTTAGGGAATCTTGACAATATTTAGCAACGTAAGAAGATAGAAAGTCAAAATTAAGACATTTTATTTGTAGTGGATGTAATAATTTTGTAATAAGGAGTAATAATTTTACGATATAGAATCGAAATAAGTTATGTACTTTATATGCGGTTGTTCAAACATTTTTTTGTTCATATCTTGAGCCAAATACATTTGTCCAATTCAGAAGACTTAAGTCTTCTAAATAATCTTAAAATAAAAAAATATTTTTATAAACTAGTAATTACTATTTTATAGAATAGTTTAATCGCGATAGCGGTATTTGTAAATTTTTTTCTAGTATTGTTTAACGTTTTATAATATAGAACTTGAATATAATTATGTGAAAAACGTATATATACAACTGTTTCCAAGTTTTAAAATTCTGATTAAAAGTGTATCTAGACAATGTTACGACCATATTTTATATTAAATATTTGATAATATTTAGTATAAAATTTTATAGCAGCGTATAGTAATGATGTTTTTAAATTACTTAAAAGAAAAAAAATTATATTTAACAGAGCATGTATTGAGAATTCAGTATTTGTAAATAAATAATTTATCTCGTGTTAAAAATGCGATTGTATTTTTGTAATTTTATATTAAAATCTCTAATAAATGTTTGAAAGAAGAGACCAAGGTTTATACCACGAAAGATCCTACCAATCAAAACTTAACTATAATTCCAAACAAGACCGATGTATGTATATGTATGCTGAAATTTAAAGATTTAGAAATTAGAAATATTATTGGGCAATCAATATCTAGCCTCGGCCGATATTTGGCTCTTCCTCCTTATTATTTGTTGCAAAAATTTAATTCCCCAACTTGATACATTTATTTTCTAAAAAACCACGACATTGTGGAAATGGAATCACTTTTCAACTGTTCCTACTAGTGTTCAACGACACTTTTTCACAAGAGAAGACTTTAAAGTGTAAATCTTATAATAATGTCAAATCTATATAGATCTGTTGGATAAATCAAATGTACGGAAATTTTCCGAATCTATGTACATACGTATCGATTATTACCACATAGTTTAATACTAGGCAGCGAATACAAAAAAGATTACATGTCAAATACACAAGACACAAATTATGCAGTAGAATATATATTATACTTGTATACAAAATAGTAAAATATAACTGTTTAATGACATTATTGAAAAAAGTTTTGTAATATTTTGAATTTACTATTGACATTCAGAAATTTCTGCATAATTTTATCGATGCGCAAGCAAGCGAGTCAATTGTTGAGCGATAACAAACGCAAGAGGTTTTATACATAGTCGTAAAACATTCGCATTATCATCGTTTTATGTTGTGAAATGTGCGTGGCCGAGTTCGGAATAGAAAAAACAGATACAACGTGAAACATGGAATTCAACATAAAATTTGTGCATTCGACACGCAGACTACTTGTTGTTCGCTACTTTTCGTTACGCTCGCAAATAT